CCATGACTGTTAAGTGTTAACCAAAGAAACCAATGAACAAACCCATGACTGTTAAGTGTTAACCAAAGAAACCAATGAACAAACCAGTGAACTAGTGAAGAGTGAACTGTTAAGGCTATTCCAATGGTACACCGTGTATTCACAGAATCACAAATCACAAGCCCTAACTTAACTCTACAGACTACTCAATCTGTCAATCTATCATTAGCAATTTAGCAATTTAGCACCAAGCAGTAGCAATTTGTCATTAGCAATTTAGCACCAAACAGTTTAGCACCAAACATGCCCCTTGCATTTTTTCAATACAATTTAGCACCAAGCAATTTAGCACCAAGCAGTAGCAATCTTTATCTAGCCATCTAGGTCTAGCAGTCAACTGGTCAAGCAGAAGCAGTGAATGTGAAGCAGAAGCAAAGCAGTGAATGTGATTATGTGAAGCAGAACAGGAAGTTGAACAACACAACAACAGTCAACACCAGAGAATGAGAGAAGCAGGGGCTTACTAGTTACTACCGTCGTCCGTCGCTGACTCGCTGTCGTTCTCGCTGTCGCTGCTGCCTGCTGGTCGCTGGTCGTCGCTCCCGCCTCCCTGACTGTCTCGCCTCCTCAGTCGCCTCTCCTGGTCGCTCGCTGCAGTGGTGGCCCGTCGGCCGTCAGTCCTTCACGGCGTCACCGTCCTCCGTCGCTCTCGGTAGTCAGTTCGATTATCGCCTATTCGCCTGAGTAGTCGTCTCTCGGGATTGGAGGGGAGGGGCCGATGGAAATTTTTGGTTTTCTCTAAGCTCAGCCTAAACTACTCACAGGTATTTGGGAAAAAAATCACTGGGGCCTGGGCCCCTATAGGCCCATATTGTGTTCCGCCCCTGTGATCGACGAAGCCCTGCCGACGAAGAAACGGACGAAACCCCACGTGCCCTACCGACGAATACCCTTGCCGCCGACGACCACCACCTACGACCTTCTTCTTTCGCCGACCACCACGTGCGACCTTTCTCTTTCGCCGGTATTATACTCGGTTTTCAGTTATATATGTATATATTTCTATATGTATGTGTATATTTCTATATGTATGTATGTATGTATGTATATTTCTATATGTATGTATATATATCTGTATGTATATATGTATATATTTATGTAGACTTGGGATCATGTAAAACCAAAGGTTTTTCGTGAGACCCGTAAGACCAATTTTCAACCATTGGATTAGATCTACAATCTGAATATTCATAATCACAAAATTGCCACGAGACTTCTCAATAATCACAAAATTGCCACCTTGCAACTTTAGATATTAGATCATTAGCTTATAAAGTTGATCAATGAATATAAATTTGTTTTACGGGTCTCACGAAAAAAATTGGTCTCACGTGAACCCAACCCTATTTATGTATGTATGTATGTATGTATATATTTCTGTATGCATGTATATTTGGTAAAAAGATTCAAGCCAAAAACAGAAAAAGAAACATCCCAAACCTCATTTTTTAAGTTCCAATTTTATATCTACTCATCCACTATGATAAAATATAAATCAACACGTTTGATTAACTACTCAATTCCAATAAGAATTCTGTTTTGAACAAAACCTAGCTTTCAAAATCCAAGTTAGAATCGATATAAATCAATGTAAAAAATTGCAACTATGGTTCGCTTTTCAAATCTCATTGAATTTGGTTGTAGTTTTAGGTGATTGGTTTGTTTAGACCACATCTCTATTAATATAATATACATTATGCGTAATACTTGACAAAATGTGGCCGATTGCAATATCTCCATCGTCAGCCATCTACAATCAATACACATTCAAATAATACTGCCTTTTTGGTAAAAACATGTTGCTCAACTTCCAAGGATCTATCATTTTTTTATTAATCTTGATATCCAACCCGCTATGCGAGCCTACTAATCTCAAAGTGATCACCTGCTTTGCAGATAATCCGGAGCCACCGCATTTGAACCTCCATGGCTAAATAGCATTTCACTCCATGCATCTCATAACTTCAATCATTCTTTTCATTTTTATCCTTGATTTGATATTTTGTTCATCTTTAGTATGTTTTCAATTATTATTTTTATAAATATTAAAAATAATAATTTGTATTTTTTTTATTAATCCAAATTTTAGTTAGTGCAAGTTATATCAATATGATTCTAATTGAGGTATATTTTGGTTTAGGAAATGAGTTGTCAATTGTTAGGCAAACATTAGAACTTGTATTTATAATTCTAATCGAGACATATTTTGTCTTAGAAGTGGGTTGACAATTATTGGACTTGTATTTATAATTCTAATTGAGGTATGTTTTGTCTTAGAAATGGGTTGACAATTATTGGGCAAACATTATGACTTGTATTTATAATTCTAANTTATAATTCTAATTGAGGTATGTTTTGTCTTAGAAATGGGTTGACAATTATTGGGCAAACATTATGACTTGTATTTATAATTCTAATTGAGGTATATTTTATCTTAGAAATGAGTTGTCAATTGTTGGGCAACAAACGTTAGAACTTGTATTTATAATTGTAATTGAGGTATATTTTGTCTTAGAAATGAGTTGCCAATTGTTGGGCAGCAAAAGTTAGAACTTGTATTTATAATTCTAATTGAAGTATATTTTGTCTTAGAAATGAGTTGCCAATTGTTGGGCAAACGTCCGCCTTTGTATTTATAATTCTAATTGAGATATATTTTATGTTAGAAATGAGGTGTTAATTATTGGGCAAACGTTAGGACTTGTATTTATAATTCTAATTGAGGTATGTTTTGTGTTAGAAACGGGTTGCCAATTGTTGGGCAAACGTTAAGACCTGTATTTATAATTCTAATTGAGATATATTTTGTGTTAGAAATGAGTTGACAATTGTTGGGCAAACGTTAGGACTTGTATTTATAACTCTAATGAATTCCTAGATATAGAATATCATGGGTATGAACTTGGCCGCTGTGTTATCCCAATATTCAAATGCACATGGTTTCAGATGAAAATATAGACGAGGAACAGTTTTTCCAGGAAAATGATAGAATAACCCAAGCTGGGTGAAATGAAGATGTGTAAGAACCCATCCATCTTGTCATAGAGGAAGACACTCTTTTAGCTTACAGCAATAATAAATTGCTCAAAAACACTAAATAATTTCTATAAGCTAATTTTGACATGAAAGACTTAGGTGAAGCTTCCTACCACTACAATAAAACCGGGTTTATAGGAGACTCCCAATTTCTAAGCGTCCTAATAGATCTCTTTATATGACTTAGTTTATAGAACTAAAAAAATAAAGCGTCCTATCTAAAGGCGTTGTAATAAGTTTATATGACGTTTTTTAATATCATAATAAGTTTTTTAGGACACTTTTAATATAAAGTGTCCCATTAGCAACTTTATAGGGCACTATTTGAAAAAGTGTCCTATAAAAACAAATGTCCAATAAAAAATTAAGTTTACAGGACACTTTCTCAAAAATGTCCTATACAGTTGTTAATGCGACACTTTGTATTAAAAATGTCCTAAAAAACTTGTTAAGACGCCCAAAAACGTCATATAAACTTATTACAGCACCTTTATATATGACACTTTATATTTTGGTCATACAAATTAAGTCCTATAAAGCGGTCTATTGGGACACTTAGATATTGAAGGTATCCTATAAACCCAATTTTGTTGTAATGTACATTTTAGGTATAGAGATTCATAGAGACAAATCAAATCCTTATTGCCTATATTAATTCTGCATTCAGTTCTGCCGCATTCTAAAGCAAAACGTTTAGAGTTTTCGAAGACTTTTGATCCATATGTAAGATGACTGCTTCTGCATCAATCAATTTATCTCCACCAACTCGAGTGCTCCAGGTTAGTTTTACTAAAATCTATTATGGTGTCATGTTAAATCAATTTATGATATGTGTTTATGTTCCTGTACCTTCATATTTGTTATTACATGCTTAAGGAAATTAAACTTCAATAGAATGATAATTATATAACTATATATGTGTGTGTAAGTATATACTGCGTACCTCTTATTTTTGTAACCAATTATGCCAAACAAAGAAACATAATTCACAACTCAGTACTACGGATGATGCGATCTAAAACTTTTTCGACTCCGTAAATGATGGATTTGATGGCTTAGGTCGACCGGTCTTTCTCCATCCTCGTACCTCTGCAACAATGTGTGATATGATGAGCTTAATTTCTCTGTCTGCCGTTTATACTCAATTTCAAACACTCATACTTAGTCCAAAAAGAATTACATACATACCTGTATCATCAATGGTGTCACCAACTAAAATACTGAGCCAACCTGGAGTTAATCTACCAACCTCCATTAACTCGAAAAAGTCACGCCGACAAAAGTAGTACGCTCCTGTGCTTAGTTGAAATCCAGACAAATCACCTCCAAGAGTTTCTACGCACTGCAAGTTGTTTTCCAAGTTCTCATCCGCTACATCATCATCCGTATACACAAGGCTTGCACCACACCCGTATACCCCCATTCCCCTCATCACAATGATAGACACGTTAACTTTATCTCCGATGTTTAACTTATTTCCAATTGGCCAATAGCTTAACCATACACCAACTTTCCTAACTCCAGGGTCGCCAAAGACATGGGGGTTGTACATATAATCAACATCATTGGATGTACTGATTTTAGCAAACCATGCCCAATCCTGACCTGACAATATTGTATATTTGAAAGTCAGATTTAATCCTTTGAGCCTCTTATTCTTAGGACATGGAGGCACGCCAAAAGACACATATGGAGATTTTGACATATACTCTAGCATCATGTTTGGATCCTTCACGTATGGCAAAGATGTGCTCATTATACCAAATTCGTACAACATCTGTGCCATAAACATTAGAATTCAGTCATTCATAAACAATAGAGTTCGACAATTCATATATAATCAGTTTAGATGTGGTTGTGTGATGTGATTTAGTGATTGAGAAAAGAACAACCTGGATGCATCGGCTTCTGCCTAAGGTTAGGTCATCATCACCAACCAGGCTCACGTGACAATTTTGATATTCTTTTAGCCACATCATGTGTCCCAAATCAGTTTCATCAAGTTTGGCTACTGGTACCAATTTAATAAAGCCTTCAATTTCAGACAATTTAGTACAACCCTTGTAGCCAAACTCTTGCAATGTGAACCGTTCTGATTCGAAAGTTATTCTCTCTAGCGAGTGGCATAAATATATATATAATTCTTCAAGTGTATTTGGGAGATATAAAAGATATTTAAGTCTATAGCACATTGTCAAATCTAGGACCCGAAGATTTTTTAGATGATTGTAACTAGGCAAGAATTCAAACAAACCTCCTCCTAAATCCAGGTACTGCAATTTTGGTTGGACTCTGAAACTCAACGGAGAATATTCAGTACACTCGAGGTTGCAGTTCTTGAGGAATAATCGCACTAATGAATGTGGCAAAGAAAAGGAAGTTTGTTGTGAACTTCCTCTACATGCAGAAGTTGAAGCTTTTAGCTTTTTATTGACTGTATTTGTCCCTAAATTCCATGGGAGGTTCGCACACCCTGTCATGTTCAATAGTTCAAGATTCTCAAGGCCTTCAATACTTTCACAAACATAATCCAATTGGTAACAGTCAGAAAGAATCAAAGTCTCAAGATTAGGGAGTCTGTTGATATTGTGGATTTCGGATAGAGATCCCGAGCCTTGAAGGTTTAAAATCTTGAGTGATTGAAGAACCTGTTGCAAAATCAAGTAACAAGACTTATTTGGCCACTAGAAAATCAGCATGAAGACCATAACAAAAACTGACAAGCTAAAAGGAGAAGCTAGAAAAAATGGATGTCAGAATTTCCTACAATGGGCGGTTCAAATACTTTCAAGTTGCTATCTCTCATATCGATAGCCACCAAGCTTCCCTTGAATAAGTCGGAGGGTATTTCTCTCAAATTGAATCCACGCCACCATAGCCACCTTAAATCTTCTGAAAAATTCTCATAGGATCCCGTGAGATGCACATAATTTAGCTTGAGCAATTTTAGGTTATCCATCTTTCTAAGTGAATCTGTCTTAAGGTCTGATGACTGCAAATTTAGCATCGAAGATAGTGAGTAAGCCAATATCATATATAGGAATAAATGCACAAAGATGCCACCATTTCCATTATTAATTAAACAGCCATTATACATAACAACAAAAATGAACGAAAAGTCGTACCTTATAAGTTATAATTAAATTGCTAAAAGGACAATTTAGTTGACAAAATAAATGCACCAAAGGCTCGATCGCAGCAAATTTTTGAAAATACACACACATATATATATATACATATATAGGAAGGATCATTCGAAAAGTTAATCAATTTGCAAGACAGCGAGAAGTTCCAAGATCATATACAATTACATGTGATATGCACACTTAATCATATATGATTAAACACATCCAAAGTAGATGTAGGTGACTTGGTGAAGCTATACGCTGTCAACGCAAACATATATTTAATTATATATGATTAAGCATGCATATCATGTGTATAATCATATATAATATTGAAAATTCTTGTCTTCTCGTAAATTGACTACTTTCTCGTTTCGACCTGATCCTATATGTCTATATATATATATATATATATATATATATTTGTAGTATATCATAAATTTAAGACATATATAATTGCGTTTAGGAGTGTGACTTTCCGGTATTAAGGATGTTTTTGGAGCTTAAGCCCTCATGTGTAGTTTTTGAAATCTTAAATTTATGATATACCACAAAATCTTCATAATTGCTTTCTTTATGTATGAACATGACATTAGTTTTAACTTATTTTATACCGCCTATAATTTCATTTACCTTGATTTTATGCCAATCATTCCACGACATTTGTATGTCAGACATTTGAGTGTCAAGCTTTAGAATGTCAAGTGCAAGACCTTCCATTGTTTTTGAACCCTAAACAATAAGTGGAGGAATAAATAGAATTGTAGATGAAATACGTGGGTGTGAAAGGGAAGCTCAAACATCGACATAAGAAGCATCTAACCTCTCCTTTGCTCAATATCTGACAAGAATCGATGCTAAGCCAAACTCTACTACGTTCTGCAAGGTGTTTTGACTCTTGACGGATTATGCTTCTCCCCATCTCTTGAAGCAACCGATGCATCACCAATGTGTTGTTTGGTGAAACTGAAAGAAGACATTTGTTGGTTAAGGTCTTGATCCCAGATGATGCAGAATAATCATGCTCCAAAATTTTTGCCACATAATCCGTGTCTTCGCCAACAAAGAAACAAGCAATATGCAAAAACAACTCTTTGTTAGAGATATATGGCAACGAGTTGTAGCTCCTCATGAGTACACGTTGAATTCCAGAATTCATATCTTTCTTCAATAAATCCAATGTACTTCTCCAAAATACGATGCTATTATCCTCTGATAGAGAGGAACCCAACACTTCAAGAGCCAATGGATTTCCTTCACAATATTGTAGCACCTCTTTTGCAAGCTCCTTGTAACCTTCCATGGGAATTTTGAATCCAAAGGCATGAAGACTTAAAAGCTCTAATGATTCATCTTCATCCAATAATTCCATCGAGTACTCTTGACATCTCCAAGATCTAGACTCGAACCATTTAAGTGTACTATTTTTCCTCGTTGTTATTATAATTTTGCTTTCTTTGTTAATATTCCCTGTTCCAAGAAAAACTTGCAATTGGCTTGGTTCAACAATGTCATCAAGAACAATAAGTGCCTTTTTTGTCTGTAAGGCACGATCAAGCTTATATCTATCTTGTTGAACTTTCTTCTTTCCACCTCCTAAAATATCTTTGACAAATTTTCTGTACAATTCATGAAAACTGTCTTGTTTTTCATGTATTCTATTAATGCCTTCGACAAAACTAATGATTTCAAATTGTCGCCAATTAGAAGAGACTATGTATTGGGCCAACGTCGTCTTACCACTTCCTCCCATGCCACAAATTGCCAAAATTTTGATATCGAATTGCTTTAACCATGAGTTGATATCTTTATCTCGAGCATTCATCCCTATTAAATTAGGTGGAAGATTGACTATTTTGCAAGCAAGTTTATTGTAAATGTTATCAACAATACTCTTCAAAAACTTTGTTTCTGGCCTGTAACAAAAGGAAAGTGAGCAAGTTCAGCAGTTGGCCTTTAATGCCTGTTTGATAAGCTTTAATGAGCATAATATACAAACAATGAGATGTTCCAAAAGCTTAAGTACAATCTAAAAATATATGTTTAAAGTTAACAATGATTGAAAAAAACCGAAAGTTGTAATTCAATTACACAATCTAACAATATATATATGGTAATATAAACTAACTTTTTTTAAATAAACTATATATAATTTTAAACAAAATTAATAAAACAAAATGTTGGTATATTGGTAATTAAAATAATATGTTGATATGTGGCGAGTGATGTAGTATCTAAGTCAGTATCATTTGATGACATGGATATCTTAATCTAAAATTAGTTTTTATGTATATGGTTTATTAGAATAAAGAGTCAATGCTTCAACTTGTTATCCGGATCCTTGTTTAAAACTTTACATTTTAGGTAGCAAAATAAAAGTTTATTATAATGTATTTTGCTGAAAATGGCATGAACTAATAAAAGGGGTTAGAAAAGTATACCCTGAAAGAACCAGGCCTGTCAAATCAGCAACCTTCATAAGGGCTGCCTTCCACCGGTTCACGTTATCATTTGTCCAGTTTGTAGAGGGTTTGACTTGTATCTTGAAAGTGTTAGTTTGTTTCCTAACATCAGAGGGATCCACATGATAAAAAACAGGTAGAACGAAATGATTGCACTCCCTCCTTTGCTCAAGGATCAACCAAAGTTCGTCAAGACACCATGTGGAAGTTGCATAGTTTTTAGACAACACAACTATTGAAGCCTTGGATGCTCTGATTGCTCTCTCGATTTCCGGCTTCAGCTCTTCACCTCTATTGATTTCATCATTATCCCTAAAAGTGTGAAATCCTGCTCGATCTAATGCTTCATAAAGATGATCGGTAAAAGAATCACGAGTATCTAAGCCTCTAAAACTTAGAAATACATCATAGTTGCTAGGAGAAGTTATGATAGCAGAAGAAGAAGTGGAAGCCATTGAAGTTTGATAAAGAGAGTCTAGGACTAGGAGGATGGAATATGTTTAAGATGGAAATATGAACAGGGTCTAAATTCTTCAGGGTTGAAAAGTCTTGGTCTCCTGGTAATACTAATATCAATCATAGCCATAGGTGTTGTCATTATTAACAAGTTTTCAATTTTCCAAGTGGTTTACCCCACCACCAGCTATCAATCAAAACATCTAAAAATCAAAGATGTCATAGACTTGGTTTTTTGAATAACTAAGCAATACAAATGTGAAGTAGAGGAAATAATTGTTGCTGTTAGTTTATGTTTATATCTTAATATAATATTTGTAGATTAGATATTTATATTAACATAATCACATAGATTACATTATTATTGTCCAATGCTGAACAATTAATTAGAGATGTGTAAAGTTTATAAAGACGTATTTGACGGAGAAAAACCCATGATTGAAGTACATAGGAAGAAGTACGTAGAACACTACAAAACAAAGGACTATCACCAACAGATAAAACCGTTGGTAATCGGTCGCTGAAGTCGGTAAAAGGCAGTCGGAAAAAGCACTGTGGGAAAAGGCATCACCGAAGGATATCACCTACGGCTACTATTTTTCCGACGGATTTATCGACGAACAATATCACCGACGAATTACCGAATGGCTACATTTCTTAAAGAATTTCCCACAATTTAGCGACAGTCAATGTTTCCAACAGATTACCAACAACCACTTTTACCAACGGCTTTTACCATGGATTATCGGTGACCTATGTTTCCGGCGAATTACCGACTGTCACTTTTACCAACGGATTACCGAAGGAAATTAAAATAAATAAATAAATTTTCCGACGGAATTTTTGCCGGTAATCCGTCAAAATTTTGTTTTTATTTTTTAAAAATAATTTAACAGACCCAATTTGCTGTACAATACACATACCTAGATTTTCAAAATAAATTGCAAAATTAAAACGAAATTGTTTTGCAATAAAATCGTAAATTATATTACAAAAGTAATATCTAAGTTCAAACAGTTCTAACAACATATCCTAAGATTGGGAAGGAGGGGGAGGGTTTGTAACCCGGTATTGTGCCATGAATGCCTCGAATTGCTTCGTCAACTCCTTCTACCAACGTATCTCCACTGCTTGTTTAGCTATCTAATATGCTTGCTCCTTCTGTGTGCGTTCCAATTCTTCCTTCTTTCCCTGTTCTTCCTCCGGTTGCTGCTCATAGGCTGCCCGCTTATCTTTCAACGCATCTACCTGAAATTATTCAACAATTGACAAACATAGAACAATATTAGGTGATAATGATTAAAACAATATATGTTACAATTATATGAAACATACCTCCTCATTGCAGCACTAGACGAGGTCCTGCAGCAACTGGCGCCAGTCACAACACTAGACGAGGTCCTGCAGTAAAAAAATGAACCAAATAGTTTCTATCGACCAAAAGACAAACCCGAAAACACTCGAAGAATGAGACTAAAGTGCTCTTGAGGTAGTGTTTGGTACGCAGACTGGATGAGACAGGACGGGATGGTACAGGGCAGAACAGGAGGGGACGGTACGGGACAGGACTAATTGTCTGTCTTATGTTTGGTACGACTAGGACAGGACATGACAAAACTATTAAAATGACCATATTACCCCTAAATGGTGTTCAATGTTATTTTATATCATATAATGATTGTAAAATGACAACAAATCAATCAAAATATTGTCATTTTAACTTTAGTCCCATGAACAAGAAATATCAAGATTTGTCCCATCTCATCGAGCGGCTAACGATATTCAGTTTTCGGTTTATTCTTGGCTTTGTAATAGAAGTAAGGTATTATGGCAAGTTAGATTGGAATAGGTGGTCCTGTAACCCGGACATGACGTAGTTTTTTCCTTGTTCTCCTCGTTCTAGCCGCTGGCTGGATTTGTTTTGAATAAATTGGCCGTTCAAAAAAAAAAAAAAATAGTTCCACCTTATCCCATGTTTTTTTGGTCCATGACATGCCAAACATGGGACTATTTTTTTTGTCCCGTCCTGTCCCATATAGTCTGCATACCAAACGCACCCAAGTGAGCCCACACACAGTTGAACATGGATCCAAAGATCAAGGTGACTGCCAGAATTGTACTCAACTCTTCAAACTTTCACAATTGAAAAATATACAACACAAAAGACATTATTATTAGTTTATTATGTACTAGCTCAAAACCTTATATCAAATCTAACTACTTACCCACCGCCAGACACGTGAAGCACCGACCGCTGGCTCAGATGCCTAGGCGTCTCTCTCAAAGTATTGTGGCCTCGAGTCCTTGATTTTGATCCAGAGGTTGGGACCACATCCCATCATCCTGCTGGTTTTATCCAATCTCTCTATGAAAGTGGCATCGACATAATCGCCAGTCTTGTCGGCTTGAGGGTCACCACGCCCAGTAAAGCAGCTACTGCCTTGGCTAACTCTTTATCCAGTCTGGTTTTATACAATGATCACAATGACCCGAAGGCTTCTCATCTTTCTGTCCGTTTATAGTAGGTGGAGCATTGCGCTTCACAGTAGCTTGAAAAGCTACCGTTTCATTTACCAATCTCTTTGCTCCGGCTATGGTTCTTTGCTGCTCATCCTCGGCGACTAGGTGGTAGGCATTTCCTAAGGATGGAATGGGTTTTGTTGCGAGGATCTGAGTTCTGATGATGGAGAACTCTCGATCGAGACCCATGAGGAACTCATAGAGTTGTTCCTTTTCTCGAAGCTCTTTGAGAGATTTTCCAACACCACAAGTGCAGCCATTACATTTGCATTTGAGAGTAGGGAGGAAGGATTGCATCTCATCCCATAGCCCTCGCAGTTTCGTGTAATAGGCCGATACGGTCATCTCGTCTTGCCTTGTGTTCGAGATAGCTTGCTTTAATTCGTATGCACGAGGCGCACTTTCTTTTCCAAACCTTTCTTGAAGGTCTTTCCAGATTTCCGATGCAGAATTGGCATATTTCACGCTTCCGCGGATCTCCTTTTCCATGGCCRTGGTGAGCCATCCCTTGATCATTGYGTCACATMGCATCCATGCCATGTAACTTGTATCATCTGTTTCAGGCTTCYTGATGGTCCCATCGATGAATCCTCTCTTGTTTTTAGCAAACAAGAAATTTTCCATTTCTTGGACCCAATCAAGATAGTTGTTGTCGGTTAATGCATCGTTGACATGCATTTGTCTTGGATAATCGGAAGAATGAAGGTAGAAGGGGGAGTTGTGATCGGGGCCGGTTGCATCAGTTTTGCGGTTTTCTTTGTTTGAGTTATCGCTAGCCATGACAGCTTATTTCAGCGATGGTTCTTTGGATTTTGGGTTTTGGATCAAGTGTGATAGATCACTGCTCTGATACCATAAAGGTTTTGATCAGAAGTTTTCTATATGTGAAAACAACGAAGAAGACAAGCCTAAATAGGCAATACAAATTACAAGGAAAGGAAACTCTTAAAAAGGAAACAATATACAAGGCAAGAAAATATTCACAGTATCTCGTGATTGAGAGGAAAACAAGGAGAGAATATCATGCAGGAAATTATGCATTCCAATATTGTTTCCGTCGAGCACGTTCGAACTTACCGTTTCCGCATTATAAACTCGGTTGAGTTATTTTTGGATCTTGGGTTAAATTTCGATTAATTTTCTGCTCGTTTCGATCCCMTTTTTCTGGGTTGGAACGAGTGTGGTGTGATCAATATTTTGCAACACCCTCACATCACATCTTGTTCTAGTAACCAATTCATGCAAAAAGAAAGAAAAAATACAGAACATAATTATCGCCTCAGAACCTTCGACAAAACTTCTTCAACTTTGTAAATAATGAGTCTGGCACCTCTGTGCGTAGTGAGCCTGGCAAAAGTGACGACTTTACTCGTGGTGGGTCAAATGACGGGTACGACTTTGTTTGTGATGGGTTAAATGGYGGCTTAGGTCGACCGGTCATTCTCCATCCTCGTACCTCTGAAGCAATATGTGATGTGAGATTTGGAGATTAAATTCAATTGCGAAYGCTAATAATTAGCTTGAAAAGAATAACATACCTATATCATCAATGGTATCACCGACTAAAATACTGAGCCAACCTGGTGCCAATCTGCCAACCTCCATTAACTTGAAAAAATCACGCCGACAAAGATAGTATGCTCCCGTAATTAGTTTAAATGCAGACAAATCCCCTCCAAGAGTTTCTATCCATGGCATGTTAATTCCCATGGTTTCATCAGCATCCGCATACACAAGGCTTGCACCACACTCATGTACCTTCGATATACCACTCATCACAATGACAGACACATTAACTTCATCTCCCACTAATAACTTGCTTCCTATTGGCCAATAACTTAACCATATGCCAGCTCCTCCATCTCCAGGATCGCYACAGACTTTGGGATTGTACATCAAATCAACACCATTGTTGGTATGGATTTTAGCAAACCATGCAYAGTCTTGACCTGATAATATTGTATACTTGAAAGTTAGATTTAATCCTATGAGCCTCCTATCCATAGGAGATGAAGGCACCTCGAAGGACAGAGATGTTGATTCTGATATATGCTCAGGTSTTATGTTTGGATCCTTTATGTCTGGCAGGCACGTGCTCACAATACCGAATTCATACAGCATCTGTGCCACAAACAATAGGGTTCAGTCACACATATATAATTAGTTCAGGTGGCATGTCGATGTGCTTGTGTGTGCTTATGCATGTGATTCAGAAAAAAAATAGAGAACCTGGATCCTTTGACTTCTGTTTTCGATGATCTGATCATCACCAACCAGGAACACCTCATGATGTTGATATTTCTTTAGCCACTTTAAGTGTCCCAAATCAGTTTCATCAAGTCTGGCTACCGGCACCAATTTAAAGAAGTCTTCCACTTCACTCAACTGAGCACAATTTTCATAGCCAAACTCATGCAGTGTGAACCGATGTGATTCAAAAGTTATTTTCTCTAGCGAGTGACAATCATATACATACAATTCTGCAAGTGCACTTGGAAGACAGAGAAGCCATTTAAGTCTATGGCTTAAAGACAAGTTAAGGACCCTAAGATTTACAAGATGATTGTTGCTGGTCAAGCTTTCAAACCAACATCTGCCTAAATCCAGGTACTGCAATTTTGGTTGAATRCTGGAACTCGGAGAAAAATGTTTAGTAACATCAAGGGTGCAGTCTCTAAGGGATAACCACACTAAAGAATGTGGCAAAGAAAAGAAAATTAGTAGTGGACTTGCTCCAGTAGATTGCAAAATCAATTTTTCATAGAGCTGTGCCTGTGGACACTCTGACATGTCCAATTGAGCAAGATTCATTAAGTCTCCAATGGTTTCACAAATATCAACTAGTTCATAACATTGACAAAGAATCAAAGTCTCAATATTAGGGAGTCGGTAGATACTGCGGATTGCGGACAGAGACTCGGAGGATTGAAGATTTAGAGTCTTGAGTAATGGAAGAACCTGTTGCAAGAGTAACAAGAATTATTTTGCACACACTATAAATATGCATAAAAAAGAAGATGTCAAATTTCGTACAATTGGCGGTTCAAATACTTTCAACTTGCTATCTCGCATATCTATAGCCACCAAGCTTTTGAAGAATAAGCCAAAGGGTATGGCTCTTAGATCGAACTGACGCCAGCATAGCCATCTTAAATCTTCTGAAAAATTCTCGTAGGATCCAGTGAGATGTACATCATTTAGGTGGAGCAATTTTAGGTTATCCATTTTTGTAAGTGAATCTGTCTTAAGATCTAAAGACTGCAAATTTAACATGGAAGAGAGCAAGTAAGCRTACATCAGATCTAGAAATTAAGAAACTACTTCTTGTATTAAGGCACTCTAAAGAACGGATTGGGACCGAAAGATAACATAGCGAGTGTTGATCATAAAAAGAGTATAATCTAAAATAAGAGAGAGAATATRAATTTTTACCGTCAAAATTTGTGGATTATCATCCCGCAAAACTTGCATATCAAGTGCTAGACCTTCCATTGTTTTGGAACCCTAAACAGGAATTAGAGGAATTTATAGAATCTTAGATGAAATAGGAGGGTGGGAAAGGAAATATAAGCTTAAACATCAACACAAGAAACATCTTACCTCTCCTTTGTGCAAGATCTTGTAAGATTCAATACTACGCCAAACTCTACTACGTTCTACAGGGCGTTTTGATTCTTCACTGATTATGCTTTTCCCCATCTCTTGAATCAATTGATGCACCATCAGTTTGTTGTTTGGTGACACAGAAAGAAGACATCTATTGGTTAGGACTTTGATCCCAGATGATGCACAATAATCAAGCTCCAATATTTTTTCCACATAATCCTTGTCTTCGCCAACAAAGAARCAAGCAATATGCAAAAACAACTCTTTGCTATTTTTATCTGGCAATGAGTCATAGCTCCTTATGAGTACATGTTGGATTCCAGATTTCATCTCTCTTTTCAATAAATCCAATGTATTTCTCCAAAATAGGATGCTAATATCCTCTGATAGAGAGGAACCCAACACTTCAAGAGCCAGTGGATTTCCTTCACAATACTGTAGCACCTCTTTTGTAAGTTCCTCATAACCGTCCATCGGAATTTTGAATCCAAAGGCATGAAGACTTAGGAGCTCTAATGCTTCTTCATCATCTAGTAATGTCATCTTATACTCATGACAACTCCAAGTTCTAGTCCTAAACCAATTATGTGTATTATTGTTCCGGGTTGTCATTATAATTTTGCTTTTTTCATTAATTTTCTGGAAATTGATAAATTTTTCCARTGGTCTTGGTTCATCAATGTCATCAAAAACAATAAGTGCCTTTTTCCTTTCTAAAACTCTATCTATGTAATAGCGCTCGCACAATGTTTGGGGTTTCCCCTCTCCTACAATATCTTTGGAAAATTGTTGGATTAACACATCAATATTACCTTGTTTTTTATGTATACTACCCATGTTTTTTAAAATGCTAATGATTTCAAAATGTTGCCGATTTGAAGAGACAATGTACTCGGCCAACGTGGTCTTGCCACTTCCTCCCATGCCACAAATTATTAGAACTTTGCTGTCGGATTGCTTTAACCAGGAATTAATATCTTTATCTCGAGCATTCATCCCTGTTAGATTGCGTGGAAGATTAACTATTTTGTGACCAACTTTATAGTAAACGTTATCAATGATTTTCTTCAAAAACTCTGTTTCTGACCTGTAACAAAACAAGGTAAGTGATCTAGTTCAGTTGATGGCATTCAAGACTTGTTTCACAAGTTCTTATGAAAATAATGCTAAAATAATCATGTGTTCCAAATGTGAATTACAGTCTACTAGTATATGTTTACATTTGGTGGGAATACTAGCATTTTGAAACCTTAAAGGGACGTTTGGTTCGTAGAATGGAATTCGATGGAATAGTAATTCATTAAATGAATTTGACTTTGAGGGAATG